ATTAGATTTGGATATTAACTTTAATAATATTGATACCATTCCAAAAAAGCCATTTGCATAATGAGGTGAGATGCAAAATGGATCTTATTTGGAATTGATCCTTCTGTCCAATAAAATGCTACCCTGTAAATTCTCATTAATGCTGCTAGAATATGCCACTTGGAGTGAAAGATAACATCAATGGCTCTTTTCAGGCTTTTAAGTCAATATTATTATTACACTAGCTGATTAAATCAAATTTATTTTAGCAAAAGGTGGATGGGGCTGCTGCCATGACAATAGGGGTGGAGGGGGAGGCACAGAGAGATAACTCAAACCAGCATCTGTTCCTGGCCACAAAAATAGCAAATATTCAACAAGCTTTATTTAAAACTGTGGGTTTTGTGTTACCGTATTATTACTTCATATAGTTCTGATAGTATCAAACCCAAAAAAGGTTAAATTGCATCCAACCATTATAAACCCCAAATTTTCTATGATATTATACTATAACACCAATAGAATCATAGAATCCTAGAGTTGGAAGAGACCTCATGGGCCATCCAGTCCAACCCCCTGCCAAGAAGCAGGAATATTGCATTCAAAGCACCCCTGACAGATGGCCATCCAGCCTCTGTTAAAAGCTTCCAAAGAAGGAGCCTCCACCACACTCCAGGGCAGAGAGTTCCACTGCTGAACAGCTCTCAAAGTCAGGAAATTTCTCCTCATGTTCAGATGGAATCTCTTTCTTTTGGTTGAACAATAAAAATTTGGCTGGAAGTAGCCACCTGCTTCTGAGCATAAATTGGTAAACACAATTTCACAATCTGTTTTACATACAAATTTAGAACTGTTTCTTCTGTTTTCATAATCATAACCCCATTTTTCCAGCTGCTGAAAGTGGTTTAAGAAATTAGAGGAAACTGTGATAGGGCAAATTGGGAGGACAAACTGGGAGAGACTGGTATTTATGTCCCTGATCCGGAGTATTAATTTAAGCCAAAGGCTGCTCATGGATTATGATGGGTATCTACTCGAAGGACTAAAAATGGGTGCCCAAACAATGTTATATGAATAAGGTACATGAAGCTTGTCAATGGCTTATTGAGGACCCAGCTTCATTTTTAAAGCATATTTGTACAGATTTCTGTACATTTACTAAGCTAGACCAAAAAAACTTCAAACTGCTGCATGCCCAGTGGTGCAGTGGATTAAACTGCTGAGCTTCTGAACTTGCTCATCGAAAGGTCGGTGGTTCGAATCCAGGGAGCGGGATGATGAGTCCTCTTGGACTCATCACTGAGACCCAGATATCTGCGTTGGCCCAGAGGGCCTTTGTGCACCAACTGTGCCTGTTCCTGGAGAAGCCAGATCTGGCCATGGTGGTACTTGCCTTAGTTACATCCTGTCTGGATTACTGTAATGTGCTCTACGTGGGACCGCCTCTGAAGATGCTCAGAAAATTCAGCTGGGCCAAAGAGCTGCAGCCAGGTTGCTCAATGGAGCTGGCTACATCCTGACTATGAACCTTCTCAAGCTCTCTGACCATGAACCTTCTCAGGCTCTAAGATCTGCCAGGGAGGTCCTCCTCTCAATCCCACTTCTGTCTCAAGCACAGCTGGTAAGGATGAGGGCCTTCTTGGTGGTGGCCCTCCAGCTTTGGAATGCCCTCCTAAGGGAAATTAGGCAAGCCCGCACACTTCAATGTTTCCAGAGGGAGTTGAAAACATAGCTTCTCAAGCAGGCCTTTGATAATGGCTAAGACACTAGCTAAAGCAGATGACCAAACACAATGATATTGACTCTGGTACTTTAATATTCTTTTAACTTGTTTGTGGCTGGGAGGTTCAACATGATTACACTGCCCATGTTAATTAGTAGCTATTGCTGCATTTTATTGAGTATTTTATTTAAAATTGAGTTGGATTTTTTCCAATTTTTGTATTGTTTTATATTAATTTGGTATTGTTACTGTCTCAAATGTTGATGTATTTTATGTTTTCTTAATGGCACTATTATGTGCTGTTCTGTAAGCTACCCCGGGTCTCTTTTGGGAGATGGTGGCAAGATATAAATAAAGTTATTATTATTATTATTATTATTATTTGAAACACAACAAGATAAGTCCACAGCAGACACTCTGCTGGCTGTTGAATTGGATCACAGTTCGGACCCTTCCCAAGTGTTTAGGTCTGTGTGATGTATCGGTGAATAATGCATGCAGATCCCAGTAAGGTGGCCTTTTGCAGCAGGCAGATGTTAATTTTGTCAGTGTTGATTCTGTATAAGTGCAGGCCAAGGTCTTTAGGCACTGCACCCAGTGTGCCAATCACCACTGGGACCACCTTTACTGGCTTGTGCCAGAGTCTTTGCAGTTCGATCTTTAAATCCTCATATTGTGTCAGCTTTTCCAGTTGTTTCTCTTCAATCCTGCTGTCACCTGGGATTGCGACATCGACGATCCATACTTTGTTTTTTAACAAGATTGTGAGGTCAGGAGTATTATGCTCCCAAACTCTGTCTGAATCCGGAAGTCCCAGAGGAGATTGGTGTGTTCATTCTCTGTAACATTTTCCGGCTTGTGATCCCACCAGTTCTTTGTTGCAGGCAGATTGTATTTGTGGCACAAGTTCCAATGAATAATGATTATTATCATCATTATCATTACAGGGAGTGGGCAACCCCCCTGTTGTAGCAGCTCCATTGGCTGCCAGTCTGTTTCCAGGCACAATTCAAAGTGCTGGCTATGACCTTTAAAGGCCTAGTCTCTTAAGGTCCAGGCTCTATTTTGCTGACCACATCTCCTTGTATGCACCTGCCCAGGCCCTGAGATCTTCAAGAGAGACCCTTCTCTTGGTCTCATTCCATCTCAAGCTTGGTTGGTGGAAACGAGAGAGCAGGGCCTTCTCAGTGACTGCCCCACAATTCTGGAACTCCCTTCTTCCAAGAAAAGCCAGAACGACCCCCTCCCAGCTGTTCTTCTGGCACCAGGCTAAAACCTTTTTATTCGGTCAGGCTGTTAAAGAAGGTTTTTAAAAAGATATGAAGGGCGGGAAGGAAGAAAAAGAAGGGATGAAAGCAGCAGTCCCTGCAACACATGGGCAACGTTTTGTTGTTCATTTGTTCAGTCGTTTCCGACTCTTTGGGACTTCATGGACCAGTCCACGCCAGAGCTCCCTGTTGGTTGTCACCATTCCCAGCTCCTTCAAGGTCAATTCAGTCACTTCAAGGATACTATCCATCCATCTTGCCCTTGGTCGGCCCCTCTTCCTTTTTTCCTTCTATTTTCCCCAGCATCATTGTCTTCTCTAAGCTTTCCTTTCTTCTCATGATGTGGCCAAAGTACTTCATCTTGGCCTCTAATATCCTTCCCTCCAATGAGCAGTCAGGCTTTATTTCTTGAAGTATGGACTGGTTGGATCTTCTTGCGGTCCAAGGCACTCTCAGAACTTTCCTCCAGCACCACAGTTCAAAAGCATCTATCTTCCTTCGCTCAGCCTTCCTTATGGTCCAGCTCTCACATCCATAGGTTACTATGGGGAATACCATTGCTTTAACTATGCGGATCTTCATTGCTAGTGTGATGTCTCTACTCTTCACTATTTTATCAAGATTGGTCATTGCTCTCCTTCTAAGAAGTAAGCGTCTCCTAGTTTCCTGGTTGCAGTCTGCGTCTGCAGTAATCTTTGCACCTAGAAATACAAAGTCTGTCACGGCCTCCACGTTTTCTCCCTTTATTTCCCAGTTGTCAATCATTCTTGTTGTCATGTATTTTATCTGATGAATTGTTGGCATCGAATTGTGCCAGTTGTAGTGGCTTGTAGATCAGTGTTTCTCAACCTGGGGGTCGGGACCCCTGGGGGGGTCGCGAGGGGGTGTCAGAGGGGTCGCCAAAGACAATTAGAAAACACAGTATTTTCTGATGGCCGTGGGGGTTCCGTGTGGGAAGTTTGGCCCAATTCTGTCATTGGTGGAGTTCAGAATGCTCTTTGATTATAGGTGAACTATAAATCCCAGCAACTACAACTCCCAAATGTCAAGGTCTATTTCCCCAAACTCCATCTGTGTTCATATTTGGGCATATTGAGTATTCGTGCCAAGTTTGGTCCAGATGCATCGATGTAGGAACTACAACTCCAAAACCCAAAGGTCAATGCCCACAAAGCCCTTCTAGTATTTTCTGGTGGTCATGGGAGTTGTGTGCCAAGTTTGGTTCAGTTCCATTGTTGGTGGAGGTCAGAATGCTATTTGATTGTAGGCGAACTATAAATCCCAGAAACTACAACTCCCAAATGACAAAATCAATCCTCCCCTCAACCCTACCAGTATTCAGATTTGGGTGTAGCAAGTATTTGTTCCAAATGAATGAAAATACATCCTGCATATCGGATATTTACAAGATGATTCATAACAGCAGCAAAATTACAGTTGTGAAGTAGCAAAGAAAATAATGTTATGGTTGGGGGTCACCACAGCATAAGGAACTGTATTAAGGGGTCACGGCATTAGGAAGGTTGAGAACCACTGCCCTAGGGGGTTGAGAAGGGCAGGGTAGAAGTGCTCAAAATAAATAAATAATAAATTGTTGCCATAATCTTGGGCTTTTTTTATGTTTAGCTGCAACCCAGCTTTTGTGCTTTCTTCTTTCACCTTGATTAGAAGGCTCCTCATCTCCTCCTCACTTTCGGCCATCAGAGTGGTGTCATCTGCATATCTAAGGTTGTTAATATTTCTTCCAGCAATTTTCACCCCAGGGCAACGCTAGTAGTGAATAAAAGGATTGCAAAAAATAAATAAATAAATAAATAAGATAAAAGTGATCTGATGAAAATATCACTGGGAACTCATGTGCACAGCAATGTGGTGATTTTGTCCTTCTGTTTCTACCGTACTATGAAGGGACGAGTAGATCCTTCCAGTTTTACACCTAGCCAGCCCAGGGCATCAATGTTCTTTGATGAGCTGTAAGAAATAACTTCTCCCGTCTGCGCATGCGTCACGCGCAGGCTCCTCCTCCCCTCCGGACTTCCGGCCAAGGAGCGGCGCTGTTGGCGGAAGTAGGCGCGATGGCGCTGTCGGCGGTTCGTCGCGTGGTGCGGCCTTGGGTTGTGCCGAGGAGCAGCTGGGGATGGAAGGGGGCGGCCCCGCTCGGCGCTCGTGCCGGTTCGTAAGTAGGGGCAACCGGCGCGTGGGGAAGGGGGGTGGGTATCTCCTCTCTGGGCCGCTCTCAAGAGAAGTCACCTTGGCAAGAGTGAAGGACACGCCACATGAATCACACTGAGCTGCCCTGAAGGTCCCCAACCTCGTCCTTTTGGGCCTTTTCCCTCAACAGGATTGTAAGATTAGGGCAGGAGAGTGATGGGGACTAAGCAGGAAGGGGGGGGGGGCTCCTCAGTGTCCTATAATATAGTAGTACATGGCAGTGTGGAGTCATATAGTCCAGTGCCATGAAACTGCATTACAGGCAGCCAGAGTTACAAACTCAGGAGTTTCAGAAAAACATCTATTTCTGTTTCATTGACTATTCTAAAACCTTTGACTGTGTGGATCATAATAAATTGTGGGAAGTTCTTGGTGGGCTGGGCATACCAAAACACCATGTCTGTCTCCTGAGGAATCTGTATAAGGACCAAGTAGCAACAGTAAGAACTGACAAGGGAACAACAGACTGGTTCAAGATTGGGAAAGGCGTACGGGAGGGTTGTATACTCTCACCCAACCTTTTTAATTTGTATGCAGAACACATCATGCGATGTGTGGGGCTTGATGAATCCAAGGCTGGAGTTAAAATTGCTGGAAGAAACATTAACAACCTTAGATATGCAGATTATACCACTTTGATTCACCTTCTAGTCAAGGTGAACGAAGAAAGTGCAAAAGCTAGGTTGCAGCTAAACATATATAAAAAAACAAGATTATGGCAACAAGAATGATTGATAACTGGGAAATAGAGGGAGAAAACGTGGAGGCAGTGACAGACTTTGTATTTCTAGGTGCAAAGATTACTGCAGATGCAGACTGCAGCCAGGAAATCAGGAGACGCTTATTTCTTGGGAGGAGAGCAATGTCCAATCTCGATAAAATAGTGAAGAGTAGAGACATCACATTGGCAATAAAGATCCGCATAGTTAAAGCAATGGTATTTCCCGTAATCACTATGGATGTGAGAGCTGGACCATAGGGAAGGCTGAGCGAAGGAAGATAGATGCTTTTGAACTGTGGTGTTGGAGGAAAGTTCTGAGAGTGCCTTGGACTGCGAGAAGATCCAACCAGTCCATACTTCAGGAAATAAAGCCCGACTGCTCATTGGAGGGAAGGATATTAGAAGCAAAGATGAAGTACTTTGGCCACATAATGGGAAGACAGGGAAGCTTAGAGAACACGATGATTTGAATCGAGGGTGGAGCTGTTTTGCAGCCTTCCCTGACATTGCATTAGTTCAGGGGTGTCAAGCTCATTTTTACCAAGGGCCATGTCAGCCTGATTGTTACTTTCATGGTTGAATCCGTGCATGGAGAATCCATGGATAGATACAGATGGACAACTATATTTTCTTACATAGTTTTTACCCAGCTTGGGCTCCCAGATGTTATTGAATGACAACTCCTGTCACTTTTGATGATCTGTCATGCAGACTGGGAATAATTGGAATTGCAACCCCACAACACTGGTGGCTCTGGGTTTGGAGAAAGGTTAAAGGACATTTTGAAGCAAAACATCATCTCCACAAGCCTTGTCTCTAAACTCAAATTGCCTGGTATCCATACTGACCAGGAAGACATGGCAGCTCATAGAAGGCATTTTCCTCTCATCTGGGCAAAACAGGACAAACATAGCTTCCTTATAGTAAAACAAAATTTAAAACATTAAAAGTGAGACAATAACAATCTAAACCATCCACATGCGTATTACATATACTTGCTGTATTTAGTTACCAGTGAGGCCATTAGAGAAAAGCTAGGTATAGATGACAAAAGGTTAGATGGTGCTAAATGTTAGACCAGATGGTAAAAGAAAGGATGCGTGAAATGACAATGTTGTTTAAATGTCATAACAAATTTGTCCCTATGATAAGTGCACTGCTGAACTATTATTTTTGAAGTAGTGAGCTCAAAAGTTTCAATACAATATGACCTCGTATTCCTGAACATATTGTGGAAGCCAGGAGTTATAGATAATAGCAAATCCTATTACCATGAACAATTTATGCAAAATATTTCCATAGAAGCACCCTGGAGAACCTAGAAAATTCTTAGAGGTACCGGTCCCACAGATACTGTACAAAAATATGTCCATCCTTGTCCCATCCAAATTTGTATTGTTCTCTCAGTTAGTAATCTACATAATAAAATGGGTCTCTTCTGTATTCTCCCTGTACTTTGTATTTGGTGGGGAGCCTTCTCCATGGTTGCTGTGAGAGCTTAGGCTAAACCGTTGTCCTTCCTAAGACCTTTTTATTTGAGCAGGCTTCTGCATAGTTTCTGGCCATTGCAAAAGAACCTTTTCACCAATTTAGGCCTAGTCTTAGGAGAAAATGAGGGGTACTTTGAATGTGACTTTCCTGCTTCTTGGTAGGGGGTTGGACTGGATGGCCCACAAGGTCTCTTCCAACTCTATGATTGTATGAAATCAGATAAGTAAATGAATGTTGTTTCTGTCTCCAGCTTCGGACTTGCCCAAAGACATGCTTCCTGGGCCTTATCCCAAGACTCCGGAGGAAAGGGCAGCTGCTGCACGAAAGTACAACATGAGGGTGGAAGACTATGAGCCATATCCAGATGAAGGCTTTGGGTGAGTTCTGCTTCTGCAAAAGGAGAAAATGGTGTGAACCAGATGAGCTTTTGAATGCCACCTGCCCCTCAAGGCATAGTCTTAAAAACAAGAATGCTTATTGTATATACTCATTCATCAGTTGATCTAATGTACATTAGTTGAAGTAAGAGAGACTGACCTCGCTGGGCCCCAACGGGGCCTGGCCGGAGGAGGCTATGAGAGCTGGGAGTGGTGACAGTGCACATGCACTCTGAGCGCATGGGCCTAAGGAAGCAACAAAAGGAGGAGAAGGAGGCCTAGCACACACACTCGCAGAGCACTTTGTTTAGGCCTAAGGAAGTGAAAGAGGAGGAGGCAGCCTTGCTGGGCCCCAGCTGGGCCTAGGAAAAGGCGAGCAAGGCTGGAGAGAGGGAAGATGCCTGGGAAGGAGAGAACTGCGCGCCCCAATGCACCCTAGGAGGCCTTGCTGTGAACCTTGTACTTCAAAACTTTAAAAAGGAATTTAGAACTTATAAAGGAGACGAGTAGGGGTCCTTAAAGGAAAAAGGAGGGGAGGGAATGCTTATCACTATGTATTATTTTCAGGTTATGGCTTATACTACACAAATGCTTATAAATCCTGCTATGGCTTATTTTATGGGTATATTTTTTATTTTTGGGGAAACACGGTAGAAGTGCAGGATGAATTTAAAATTAGCGTTGTTTAAAGTGTGTCCCTTTCAACACCACTTTAATAGAATGAGATTTTCTAACACATATCAACAATGAACTTCATGGTTTCCATTCATTTCTTCTTTCTTCTTTCAAAAATCTAGCTATTAACCATATGTTGCTTAGTTATCCCAATATACTTTAAATCACATCTACTAAAATTGGTACTACATATTTCTTTTACTGGTAGTTTTATTGGAAACAAAGGCAAGAATAAGGTACAACATTGCATAAGAACTGCTATGCAGCATGTAGAAACATAAGATCTATGCGTTGTGGTTAGGATGTCTTTTATCTAGTGAATTTGAAATATGCAACTATAAATTGGCTTTGCTTTCACCAAGCAGTATAATGGGATTTGAACAGGAAAAGTAAAGTGCAGTCTGAGTTGTAGAACTTGCAAACTTCAGGGGGGGAAAGGTGGAGGTGGAAACAAGTAAACTATCTGTGCTAAGAAGTGAATAATTGTTTCCATTCTTTGAGATTATAAATTATTACAGTTGGGTATTCTCTGGTATTTACTTCATCTTGCTCTTGTACACAAGTTTCATGGTGAACTTCTTATATTTCCCATAGTTATGGTGATTATCCAAAACTTCCTGACCGATCCCAGCAAGAGAGAGATCCATGGTATGATTGGGATCATTCTGACCTGAGGCGTAACCATGGAGAGACAGTAAGGATGTTGGATTTTGCTCTGGGTTTCAGCTATTTCAGTTTGGAATCCTGACATGCACGTCCTGATATCACATTGCCTCCATACATTAGAGCAATGTTGGAGTTGCGACCTTTTGTAAAGGCACTCAAGACTTGGCTGTTAGGTTGTACATTTAAGTAATCAGATCTAATTTGCCAAATAGTCACTGTTGAATGTTTTTATGTTGAATGTTTTTATATTGTGTAAATGCTATTTTAGATTGTAAGTCGCTCGGAGCACCTTGGTGGAGAGTGACTAATTAAGAAATAAAGTGAAGTGAAGTGAAGTTACAAAAATGATAGCCTGTGGCTAACCTAGTGTGACAGTGTGTTTGAATCTGATCGAATTGTGGTGTTTTGCCGAATTACAGAATTGATGATACCAAACTCAAATCTTTCTGTAGCCCAGCAATCATACTTCAACCTTAGTTCCTCAGTATATTTGTCACACTCCATTGACATTTAAAATATCATGTCCATTTGGTAATTGATGAATTGTTGGTATTCCAAATATCTGCTATCCTTCCAAGTGCCTGATTTTCAGATTCCTGTTTTTGTGTGCATTGTTGTCATGTGCTTCAAGACAACACTAATTTATGGTACTTCTTGTACAGGGTTTTCTTGCAAAATTATTCAGCCGATGTTTACTCCTGACTTCCTGTAAGACCAAGAGAGTGTTACATACCCAAGGTCATATCATGGGTTTCTGTGACTGAGTAAAGATTTGAACTGTGGTCTCCAGCAATCATGCACTATACTGGCTCCTTTCTGTTGTAGGATTTCCTTTTAAAATTCATAGCAGCATGCATGTTAAATGACAGCACTAATATTTATGATGTTTTACACAATAACACAAATAGTTACAGAAATATGATCTGGACAGAAATAGCATTACTTGTCCTGAACCCCTTTTCAGTAAAAAAAAGAAAGAAAGAAAAAGGAAAGTTTAAATTTAGTAAATCACTCAAAATAAAAAATGCTTGCTAATCTCTACTCACATTAAGTACACCTGAAAATAATTTCAAAACAAACTGCATTAAGCTTCAAACCAAGTATTTTTTCATCTTTACCTGCCACAACATGTGTTTCATTGGTAATATAACTTCAGTCAAAGTGTGCAGAAACAGAATTGAGTTCTGATACCTAATGCAACCATCAGAAATGTTTAAATATGTTTCAAGTTGAGTACATTAGGAACTGTAGGAGACATTTAGCTTGGCCCCACCAAAACCATACCTTTCAAATGAAAATCTGGGCAAAATTATGTGAATAAATGCATTTTAAGATTGGAACTAATATTCATGGATGTGTGTATTGGTACACATTTGGTACACAACATGGAATTCAGCAGTTTGAGAACTGTGGCTCCTTTAAAGATAGGAAACCAGCTTTTTTCTATTCCTGTGGCTGAAGAAACAAACATGGGCATATATTTTGGTACTGTGTATTTTCTAGGCCATGTTGGAAGATGCTAAAGAGATGCTCTCTCTGGGTAATTTCTAGGTCCTCTTTTGCTGGGAGTTACTCATTTCAGTTAGGTTTCCTATTTATCTCTGACTGCACATTTCCACAGTTAATCAGGAACATTTCCCCCATGAATGTGGGGGTTAGTCTATACATAGACATCTTATCTAAACAACTCTCACTTTGCCTGGTGTTGCTTAGTAATTGGGATCTGTAGTACAACCAGAGTTTCCATCTTTTCATTGCTCACTGTATGTATAATGTTTGCAGGTATGTGATGATTTTTTTTTCTGATAATTTTAGCAAGTCTATCCTCATTGTTTTCATTGGTTTTTTAATGTTAATTATCACTTAGTATGTAGTACAGGGTGAGGTAGCATAACTTCCCTTTTTAAAATGCACGCCATTCCGTCGGTTGAAGATGTAGCAGAGCACTAGTGGTCTTGTTCGAGAGGCAGGAGTATAAAGTTTTGTCCTGACACAGTTCAGGCGCCATCATGCGTTGGAACAGTGAGGAGCGTGCTTTTGCCGTTGAGGCCTACTTTTCGAGCGGATTTGGAGTGGCCGGCCCGCTCTCCAGATTTGGCCCCTTGTGATTTTTTTCTATGGGTTTTTTTTTTTTGAAATCCCGTGTTTATGTGAACCATCCAAGGACCCTACAAGATTTGAAGACCAACATCCAGGAAGAAATTGCCAACATAACGCCTGCTATGCTGGCAAGAGTCATGACAAAGGCCAGAAATCGGTTTACTCAGTGTATGGAGAATGGGGGACGTCACCTACCTAATTTGATCTTCAAAACTACGTAAAACAAAACTTTAGGTATGCGCCTACATTATAAAAAAAATCTGATTCATACAATGGGTTTTATTAAGTTTTGAAAAAAGGAAGTTAGGCTGCCTCACCCTGTATTAGTTGATAGATGTATATGTACACCTCTCCAAAGTTCTCTTATATTTATAACCACAAGAGAAGTCGCAACTATGTATGGTCAATGCATAACAGTATCTCTCCCTGTGTTCTTTCAATCAGATGCACTGGGATTTTGATATGTTTCTTCGGACACGGGTTGACACATCTCCCACACCAATATCCTGGCATCTCATGCGTCGATACCTCTTTGGCTTTATTGGCTTCATGCTTGTCATGTTTGTCCTGGGCGAAATGTATCCCTCCTACCAGCCTGTGGTGAGTTCTGAATTGGTATTTATTCAGGGAGCTCTGTCGCTGCCTTCCTAGTCTCAGGTACTTGTGCAATTGTGGAAATCAAAATATGGTATTTATCCTTCCCTAAATTCAACTTGAGGTCTTAATGCAGTATTGTTCAGGTTGAGGAATCACAAACTGCTGTTGGTAGACTGGGTTTCTCTCTTTCTGCCCCATCCCAGTAAACAATCCTGATATAATTTAAGAAAGCAACTTAGAACAACTAGCTTGGCTGCTATGGGATCACGGGCAGGCAAGATGAAGTTAAAGCCTCTTTCTTCCCCCAGAAAACATATGGAGTGGTCACTGTGTTGGCCATGCAGCAAAATACAACAAAATCTACATAACTGGATTATTTTTTCTTCCCTCAGTCATCAAAATAAATATTGCTGTCCCTGTTCTTCTAATAACAGCATAAGGATAGCAACCTGATGACTGAGGAGCTGGGAAAATGTAAGGTTGTTCAACTGTATTCTTTCAAAATGGGACACTCATTTCCCCCATCTAGTCTTAAAACAGGCAATAATCTTCTGCATGTCCAAAAGACCATGAATAATGAGCCTGGCCTGTACAAATGGTACTCTGGGACATATTCAGTTGTAGAATGGAGCTTTATTGGGAAGGTACTTGTTTGGATTTTCATTCTGTTCAGACTTTCATTCTGAGATGAATTATGTTATTAGTTCATTTTTGTTGTTTCGTATCTCCTTTTCTCTGTAGGGACCAAAGCAATATCCCTATAACGACCTCTATCTGGAACGAGGTGGAGATCCCAAACAGCCTGCACCAGAAGTCAAGCACTATGAGATTTGAGAACAGGAACTGCACCACCTTTTCATCCTCTATATTTTCAGAAAGACTACTGGGCATAACTGTTGTTGTTTTGAATGTCCCAATGATGGGAGTAGTAACATCTATGAGAAATTGATTTTCACATCTCTTGTATCCCTAAGCGATGTGGAAATAATTGTCCTCTTCACAATCTTCAAAGGAACTTCTTTACAAACAGCTTGGGACTAAATCCATTTGCTTGTTCCAACTGGAGTAGAGCTGCTGAATCGACTACTTGCTGATGAGTCAGCATTTGTGTAAAGTACATTGATTCTTTGGATTTGTGCTAGTTGGGATAAGCACTTGGATTTAGATCCTTTCCTGCAAAACTCCCAGCTCATATGAAATCAGTACATGGAGTATGGTACATATTAGGTGTTTCTAATGTTCAAAAAAGGGCAAATAAACAGAAAATCTCATACAAACAAGTAATGTTGGTTCTTGCTATCTGTTGAATTATATGTGAAGAAGAACTATGTATTTAGTCATGACATATCCATGGAGTCCTTTCTTTTACCATTTATTTTATTTGATAGAAGTGAAAAACCATAACACAACTACAATAAAGTGAATAAACACATCATAAAGTTACACTTTTACTAAAATGAGACTAATGAACAAAGACTAGTTTACAGACCTCTCTCTCTGTCTGCTGGTTTTCTAATACTAACTAGTCTTCTCCCTGTAAATAATATTACATAGTCACACTTCTAAATTTAATAACCTGTGGTAAACTCATAAATTCCACAGGTAATGACCCCCACCAAAAATAATTGTTGGACAGATTCTGTAAACCCCAAATATCTCTTAAAATAGACAAATATTCCTTCTTTACCAGCCTAGGCCCCTTCCACACAGCTGAATAAAATCTCACATTGTCTGCTTTGAACTGGGACTCAGATATTCCAATTCAAAGCAGATATTTTGGGTTATATTGCCTTGATATTTTGGCTTACATGGCTGTGTGGAAGGCCTCCTGGTCAATTTATCCATCTCAGTTCACAAATACTTGTTAGCTGTTGTCAAAAACGCTTGTCTCCAGTCTTAAAGATGGATCTGCATCAGGAAACAGTCCAGAAGGTCCTCTTCCTCTCTTTCACTTCCCTTTTGATATATAATGTTTTCATAACCAGTCTCCCTCAAAAGCTACGATGTTAGCTACTGCTTTCTATACAAATCTTTCTGTTTGATCTCAAGCCAGACCTGTTGATAAATCTTGTCAATCTCCTTACTGAAGCCTTTATTTGAAGCCTCCAGAAGGGTTTCCCCCCAACCTTGCTGCCTGCTTCTGAATTCCTGTCTTACCAAGTTCTGGTTTACCTGATTTGCCTTCTCAGTCAGCTTTGCCAAAGAGATATTTCTTTGTTTTCCACTATGAATTCCTCTCTCATCAATCACAGTTCACCCAAAATTTGGGTTAATCCAATTGAATCCAATTCCAGCCTGTCCATAATTAGTTAGTTTTCAGATTGTCCTTATTTGGAATTGTTAAATTACACTATATGGCATGATTTTGTTCCTAGGTTATAAATGTCATTTCCTAATTGGTTCTATCATAAAAACATGGAAAAAGTTTATTAAACTGCAAAAACTTTGTTTTCGTGCAACATCCTATACACATTTTACTATAGTTTTTCAATGAATATTACATCAAGTCTCAACCAATTCAACATAGTTTGTGGCAGTCACAAAAACTAAGTTTCTGGAATGTAACTATTTTCAAAGTAAGTACTGCATAGTTAAATAGGAAATAACACTTTCAGACCAGGAACAGAAGATTTTTTAAATTTTGTTACACAGCTAAACACAAGATGGCAGTAGAGAACTCTATATATCTCTCTCCCTTTCCATCTTCAATTGTTTTTGCTGTTGCTAAGCTACTAATTTTCACTGGAAATGAATGGCATTCCCCAAGCTCAAATATTTACTTCCGGTATCTTTATCCTTGGAACTTTCTTTTGTTTTGTCTTCCAAGACAAACAATGATTTAGCCTTTCAATGAGTTTGTATATCAATCTACCCCAAAAAATATATTAGACTTGGCATTTCTTAAAAAGCCTTTCTTTAAAGTAAATCAGCATTTTGTGGGAGTTGGCACTGTCTGTATCAAGTTGCATTCCATCTCCAGATAACACATGTAGGTTACTCACATTCGGCATAGAAGTTACAGCCAGTTGCAGTAATTTCCTTGGAGTTCTGAGTGTTTTTGCCCTGGACAGATTAGTTAAGGGGGTGTTTTTGTGTCAAATTTACCACTATGACTAGATCCACCTTAAAATGTCTCAGCTGCCACTATGTGGTGGGTTTAGACTAGGGTTGTACACAGATTCGGAGTGGTTTGTTCCCTTCGACCAATCCAGAGTGGTTTGTTCCCAAGGGCCCAGCCGTCATGTTTTTTCGCCAGTTATGGGACCACATGGTAGCCGATCACGG